GTTTCCTCCTTGTATATACAAAGGTTCAAGCTATCGTCAAAGGAGTGGGTAGGAAGCATGGATAGGGCATATCCCTAGACAGTACAGCTGGTCAGCTGCAAAGAAGACAGCAGACGACACTCCTCTAAGTGATGATGTAACTTAGGGCCTTATTATACCTTATGCTGTAAGCTGAACAAATGTTAATTGGCTTAATGTTGTTGATCTTATTGGAGCAGTTGCACCTTAAGGCAAAAAATCATCTCGGCCTGTCCTTCACCTTCACAGCTGTGACTTGACACTAGAAGCTTGGCGAGCAGGGTCAGGACTGGCTGGGCAGAGGGCAGGCCCACCACCAGGTCACTTGCAGCAGTTTCCCAGAGGCTCTCTGGTCTTGCTGAAATGGACACAGTGGCTCTACACTGAGCAGGGCTATCAGACTTGAGGCCTGGCAGCCCTGCTCTCAGTGCGGAGCTGCCACAGCTTGACAAGACCAGAGAGCCCCAGGGAAACCACTGGGTCTCATCATGCTGAGAGCAGGGCTGCCAGGACTTAAGCTGGCCAGCCGTGCTCTCGGTGCAGAGCCGCTGTGTCGGTTTTGGTGAGACTAGAGAGCCCCAGGGAAGATGCAGCCCTGGAGCTTTCTCGCTTTGTCCAGCTGAGCCCCTGAGAAAGCTCCTTGCTATCTGTGCGGCTGCAGTGCCTGCCACAGCTGCCCAGAAAGTTTCACCACCTGAGCTCCAAGGGGCTCCACGCTGATGCTGGCAGGAGCAGTGAGCCAATCCAGGCAGTGCTGGGAGACAGCAAGGCCACTAGGGATGTGGCACTTGCTGTGCCCTACGTCCCTTGGCCCTAATACCATCCAGCATCCCAACTCACCCTGACTCAGGAGGAGCCACTGTGTTCTGGGATACTGAAGGACTTCAGTTTGGGCAGAATAGCTATCTGGGGTGTGCACACCTTAATTGAACAGGAGCAAAATTAGGCAGATTAGAGAAAACCCTGCCCTGGAGTGGAGTAACAAGTGTTTTAGGCCACTTAAAAGGTGTTAACATGCAGCTAAACCAGGGATTCAGAGCTCCAGAAGCCACCTGATATTACTGTGTAACAAGGCCCTTACATACCCTGTCAGAAAAGAGCAGAAAGGAGTGGGGTGGTATTTTGTAAGATGTTGTGCCTCCCAGGTCTCCCACTGGGTAGGATGTTTCTCTCAACATGCCTTCCTCAAAACTGTACCTTTGTTGCACAGTTGAGACCTACATTTCTACCATCTACTAATGCTGGTGTGGCTTTTTAGATTAATCCTTATTGTTTAGACAACATCACTGTAGATTCTTTCTGTGTTATATGGGCCTAATCCAATCAGAAAAACCTGATAGACGTGGCCTTGGGGAAACAGGTAGCACTGTAGCCATAGAGCCTGGTCCCTAGCTGGAATAAATATATATTACACCACTGGAAGCAATGATACAAGTTAGATATATTTTTACCAGCTGATGCTCAGACCCATGCAGGTATTATCAAGAAGGTTTATTATCAAGAGACCAACACCTTCACACCTACAAGTCCTCATGTTACCAGGGATCCAGAGTGCAAGTATATGGCCTGCTCTGCCCTCCACAAAATGGAACTTTCAGTTTTAATATCATCATCAACCCCCCAGTATGCACAGTTTTGCTCTCTGGTGCTGAGCTACTATCAAGTTCCCAACGTCATCTTTTACAAAAAGAAATTAATCAGACTCATCAAATCACTTGTTAGCATGCTCTGGCTTGAGTTCTGCATTAGCAAAACTAGTGTACACACAAAGTATTTTAATTTTTGTGTTTAACATTATACTTGCTGTGTATGTATATTTGGTTGGAAAACTGAAGGTTTAATCCTGGAGCATTCACATGAAAATAAATATTTTTGGCCCAATAGTTATTAGAAACAGGATGCTACTTCAGTAATTTTAGTCAGCTCAGTGCCTGAAGCAATTTGTTGGATAGTATAAACTAGTTGGTTGAGGGACTCGTATATGTTCATAACAAATACTGATTTAAGAGCTGTGTAATTATGAAACCATGATATCCAAGTTGGTCAGAACTCGTTAGCCAAAACATTGAAAATAATGGGGTTTTTTTATAAGCAAAAGAAAGCACTCTGGGGTGTAGTTTATATGATGTATGTATTTTTTGCAAGTTTGAAGCATTAACCTTTTGCTTTGTAACATATTCGAAACATATGTACATAATATCGGAAGCATGCAGGTTTTTTAAATATTCACATGCTGTCAGGGGCTGTCATTTTATTTCTGTTCTTATCAAGCAGGGTTGTACTAATAGCAGTAGGTAACAGCAATGACAGTTGATTCAGCCAAATCTAGGGGTGTGTTACTAATGTTTCTATGTCTCTGTCTCATCTGAGTCTTTCTGCAGTTTGCTGGATTTATTTTCTGTCAAATAACAATAGACTGGGTAACCAGTGAAAACACTGCTTTCTAACATCAGTCCAGAAAGTTTCCTGACTCTGCAGCTGATCTGTGTTACCTTTCCTTGCAATAGGTTATAGGGTCTTCCTTTCCTTCTGTTTTTCAGGTACCTAATGTTTTCTTAGCTTTGCTCTGAAGATCGAAATGGAGCACATTTGTTTGCCAGTAATGAGTCAATACAGTAAAATCTGAAACAGTGTAGTGATTCTCTAGGCTAGGCACAGACATTACACATAAACTGGTTTAAGTGATCTGAAACTGGTTTAAACCTGTAACAGAGCAGACATTCAGTGCACATAAACCAGTTTGAAAATGGCTGAAACCAGTTTGAGATAAACCTGGCTGAAAGTAGTATCAGACTTAACTGATTTGGGTCAATCCAATTTATGCAATGCCTGTTCCAGACACCTTCCTGGTTTAACTTAAACCAGAGTCCCCCAGCTTTCCAGATGCTTTGCAGCCCTGGGTGGGGCTCTCTGCTCCAGAGCAGGGCTGGTCCCACCCCTCTGCTCCCTGGCTGGAGCTCTGGCAGAAACAGCAGGTACAGCAGCATCTGCCTGGCTTCCCCGCGCCCTACCACCCCCTCACCACGCCCTGCTCAAGCAGAGATTCCCCACCTCCCCTCTCCCACAGCACGGACCATAGCTGGCATGTGGTATGCTAGCTAATGCTGAGAGGTGTATGTGTAAGGCAGACAGGACAAAGGCAGAGAGGACAGTGTCTGTGTAGGGCTTTTTGGAGCTAATCAACAGGGCAGCTGGTAATGTCCCTCTGTTCCTTGCTTGGAAAAAGCTGTTTAAGAAGAGCTTGAACTAATGAGAGAGGCTTTTGTTTTCTTGATAGGGTGCTAAACGCTGTGTTATCAACTCCCTTGCCCCCATCAGCTCAGCACTATGGAAGGGCAGGGAGGGCTGCTGTAGTGCCCCGCAGCTTCTAGCTTGAGCCACTGCAGGCGTGTGCCTGCATTTCTTCAGTCCAGAGGGAATGTCTGTGCAGCTGCATATTGGTTCAGTCTAGCCAGGTTAGACTAACCTGCAAAGATTGAATCAATTCAGGCTTGGGCTTTTTGAATGTCTGTCACTAGCCCTACTGTTTCTCTATGTTGGTCCAGCAACTTCTGGGAAGGCCTACAACTGTACAGGTATTCCTTGCTTGTACATGCATTCCTGGAAAATGGTGCATAACTCAAATTTGCATAAAGAAAACCCACTTAACAATGTAACAAACAGGGATACGTTCCAAAACCTTGACTGTATTGACCCCCAGATCCATTTCTACCACTTTTACAAGAACATGTTGGTACTCACACAGTACACACAAGCACAGGGTGGTGGTGAATGTTTAGCTGGGGTGAACAGAGAGTGATGAAGGCTTAATTGATGGACCAGGGAGAAGGGTAGGAAATACACTAGTGGGAAGCTTAGAAGCCATAATGGGAATGGCAACTACAGTAATACGTGTTGCAAACAATGCATGAGGAGCACAAATCCAGACATGAGACTATATTTTGGTGCATGTCTCTCCCACAATGCACCGCACAAAGCACCTGACTGTGGACTTCCACTACACCAATCTCATAACAGTGAACTTATCTTTCATATAACAAATTTTTGGTGTAAAAAGGTTCATCACATAAGAACAAATTTGCACATACAGACCCCGCACAAAGTGAGGTAAACCTGTATTCAGATGTAGTTCTCCATAAGCTACTTAGTGTCCAGGTCTCTGCTATGCTATGTAGGAGATACCTCACAAAATATCTACCCTGCCTTTGTACTTAACTTCAGGCGACTTTTCTCAAATGTGCTCTACCTCTATGGATTTTTCAGCCTAACAGCAAGCATCTACTGCTTTATCAGACTTCTCAGGGATTTTGATACCCGCCCTCTTCCTTTCCGTATCACCTTTTCTGCAACCTTTCCTTTACAATGGTAGTACTTTTTGATCAAATTTTCCTCAGGCCAAAGTTGGAATCACCTGTCCAGTGACAGTAACATGGCCTTGTTTTTCCTTGCATCTTCTTTGGCTCCCACTTATGTCTCTCATGATTCTGCCATGTTGGCTACCATATGCAGGCCAGCCAGCTTCAGAAAAGAGAGGCCTGCTTTACTAATAGGGTTTGTTATCTAAGCCACTTCCACTTGGAGCAGTGCCCAATGGTGTGCTTCAACCTGTGAGTCATTTTTTCCATTCCTTTCCCAGTTCCTTTCCCTTGCCTTGCCTTGCAACTATAACAGAGTTGGCTTCTTTCTCTCTTTTCCCCTGTCCAAGCACTATCCTGCATACAGGTATGTATTGTTCATTTGTTCCCATTTTTTCACAAGAGCTGGCTGCTGAAAGTTTGGGGAGAAGCAGGAGCATGCCTAAAGTGGAGCCAGAAAATGATATGATTTTCTTGTTGAGTGCTTGTGTCACATAGATAACAGCTCAGCAATTTTGAACTGACCTGAATTGAGTCAGAAAGAATGGTGGAATTCAGCATTCATTGTAAAGCAGAATTTTCTAGGGCAGTAACTCAGTCCTTTTCAACACTTCATTGCTGTTTCAGAGATTAAACAAGAAATGAAGCCCAAACTTCCAGAAAAGTATTCTGCTCACAGACCTCAGATTGTCAGCATCCATCGAGTCTACATACAAACAAGACGAGAAAAGCGCATTAATTTTACCATCGGAAGTCGAGCCTATCTGCTTCCAAAAACGTCTATTGTAATTAAGTGCCCAGTACGAAGGTTTCAGAAGTCCCTTATCCAGTGGGAGAAAGATGGACAGCATTTACAGTACTCTAAAAGACTTGGCATCACTAAATCAGGTTCGCTGAAAATACATAACCTTGAGGCTACAGATATTGGAGTGTATAGGTGCATTGCAGGCTCCATGTATGAAACGTTTGTTCTCAAACTTATTGGCACTGACAACAGATTAATAGAATCTCCAAATCTTAGAAAACGTGCCAGTGAGAACAGTAACACAGATCACAATGAGTCCAACAGCTTTGGAGCCAAATGGCATAAAATGAGTAAAATGTGGCAAATGTGGAGTAGAAAGCATGAGCTGTATTTGGATGATGGGCAAGTTAATGACCAGCCATTCCTGAGAAATCTTGAAACCGCTGGGAGGAATTCAGCTGAAAAACACAGCTCTCATGGGTTCAGAAACAGACGTCTGGAGGCAGCAATTCTTCAAGGTGCTTACAGCATGGATACTGTACAGTTTGAAGAACTGATAAGGAATATGAGTCAGCTCATTGAAGCTGGGGAAGTCGATGATGATTTGGCATCCCAGGTCATATATCAGTTAGTTGCTGAATTATCTAGACTACCACAACCTACTACTGAAAAGTGGAAAGATTCACAGGAAGAATTGTTAGCCTCAAAGCTTACTGCCAAATCACCAAATGTATCTGAACATTTCAACACAAAAACCATGATTAAGTTGACATATGATAAAAAGATACCAATTATTATAAGACAAAAGCAAATTCCTAGAATCTCATTTAATCGAACAATAACTGTACGTATTGGAAATACAGTTTTTCTGACCAAGAATACACATGCTGTCATTTTACTGTGTGAAGCCACTGGCATTCGTGAGCCTAAATATACTTGGACAAAAGATGGTGAAGCATTAAAATCGTCTGAGAAGTAAGTGAACGTGGGTTCTTTTATGTCTAAATAATTCTCTTGTCCCCAACAAATTCCCTCTCTTATATCATATTGAAGTGTGTTACTGTAAAAATAAGATAACTGTGAGCCTTGTGCATTTTATTTCTAAAATTTTATATTTTTTCAAACATTTTCCAGTGTTTTACAAATAATCTTATGAATAAAATTATGCATGTCCAATTCTACAACATTATACGGCAGGACTGATTTTTCTACTAGAAAAGAAAATATGTTTTATATATTTATTGTGATTTCTCTATTCAGTCTAAATTAATTTAGCTACATTGGAGAATAAATAGATTTATATTAAAATAAATATAGAAAGAAAAAGCCTGTGAGATCATTTTGATATATCACATCACATGGTACACTCATATTAGAAGTTCCTGCCAGTGCTTGAGATACTACTAGTCCTCATTTTAAATATTCCCTATTTTATCTATAGTAAATATGTCTGAAGATATTAGTAGATCTAAAAATAGAAGGAAGTTTTAGATGTACCCATTGGCATAATTTGTACATGATACCATTTTAGAAACTAAAAATAGCCTTTAAGACAGTTTTAAAGACAATCTACAGATTGTTCCATGAAAGATAAAGGGACCCTGTGTTATAACCACAATTTGGAAATATACCTGTAGCAAAGAGGGAGCCAAGTATATGTTCAGATGTTTGCTCAACCTTGACCAAATACTTTTACTTTACTGCTGGTAAATGAGAAACTTTGAGAAGTGAGAGACTGATAATATTAACATTAGTTTCATGTGTTTGCCTCCTGGAATTGTTACTAGCTCTTGAGTAATGAAAAAATTATTCTGAACTGATAAAGGTATTTTTGGATATTTCTCAACATCCTTAACTGATTAACCATTTTGCCAAGAAAAATGTAGCTCTGCAGGGCTATCAGTTTAAGTGAAAACATCAAAAAATAAGACATTTTGAAAGTGAAAATATTTCTGGAACCAGGTTGCTCCTACTTAGTGAGGAATATGTAATTTCCTGTTAATTTGTTGTAACTGATGTTTTCATTTTTTGCACATGATGACTTTGTTTTATTGATACAAGAGTCTCTTTTCTAGTTCTAATGTTTACATTTAAAATTACCCTCACTCTAACCCAGACTCCTATCCTTAAGTATTTCAGATCTTCACTGGCAACTAGCAACTTCTCTGATTTTTGTAGGAGACATGAGATTAAATACCACTATATATAAAAATGAGTGTTTTAGATATGGATGCTGCTTGGTTAATTAGTTCAGTGGGCGAATGAGAACCATGTTTTCTTCCAGGCACAAAACAGGGCTTCTTTGGTGCTATAAACACACTCATTTTGATTCGTTGTGCAATGTAGTTCTTAGTTTTGCAAGATTAATACATTAAGGATGATGTCAGATCCACAATTCACATACACATTTATATGTATGGTAGCTAAAGTAACATAAAGACAAAAAAAAAAGGGGGGGGGGGAATGGCAGGCATGATCTAAGTTAGTTCACCTGAGATCATGAATAGGTTAGTCCTATATATTGAACAGGCACATGTTCAGAGTGCAGCCCTGGGGTGGGGGAAGGCCAGAATCTGTGCTTTTCCTACCCCTCAACTCTGACAAACTATTTATAGCCTTCTGACACCCCCCTCCAAACCAGCAGCCCCCACATGACCTGCCAGCCCTCCCTGATCCCACCATACTTCACTGTGGACCTGCTAGCCCCCATGATCTCCCCGACACCTCCACCCACCCCACGTTATTTACACCAAGCTCCCAGCATGGCTTCCAGAACCAGCGAATGTCTGCACACATGACTCCCGAGCTATGATCTTGCAGTTTAAAGCAAGCTGTGTTATTGTAGTTTGGATGCAGCAAACATCTGCAGGTACCCTAAATTTTCAAATTTCTCATCTTCATTTCTTCCCTCTGTTGAAAACCAAAAATCTTGCCAGTAAGGAAGAGATTATTTAACAGACCCAAGACTTTTCATTAGTAATAATCCAGCCACTTTGCAATGTTATTTCCAAATGTGCTGGTCTCATGTGACAAACTGGCTATGCTGAAAAACAACGCAGATAGCACCTAA